GCCGGGCCGGGCCGGGCCGGGCCGGGCCGGGCCCCCGGGCGGGGAGGGAGGGGGAGCCGGGCCCGGACGCGTTTTGCTGCCGGCTGCGGCCGCAGCAGCCTCCGGGCCGGCGGCCTGCGCTGCTCCCGCGGGCTCCCTGCGGCCGGACCGCCGGAGCCTCGGCTGTCTCTGCAGGTGGCTGCCGGAGGGCAGGGTCAGATTGGATGCTGGGGACAAATCTGCCCTCTGAGGGTGGGCAGGGACTGGCACAGTTTGCCCAGACAAGCTGGGCTGCCCATCCCTGGAAATGTCCGAGGCCAGGTTGGAAAGTGTCCCTGCCCGTGTCAGGGGGTGGAACAAGATGAGCATTAAGGTCCCTTCGAACCCAAACCAGTCTGGGATGTCTCAGCTGCAGATCCAGAGGAGGAGGAGGATTTGCTCAGAGGATGGGACAGGAAGTCTTGGCTTGACCACAGCAATTCTGAAAGTCAAGTGTGTGGGGCTAAACATTTCTCAGAAATCTCAAGGACCTGGGGAAGGGAACACCTGGACCAACACCAGCTTCTAGGAGATGCTGGAAACCCACAGCCAGTCCCTGTAATTGAACATTTAAATGGGATTAAGGGGACAGCACAAGACAAAGGACACGGAGCATGAGGACAGAGCCATCAATCAATGCTGGATGAAATGATGGAGTGCTCTAATTTGGGTTGTGTATTGAGAAGGGCAATAGGACAGAAATACAATTACTGTCCAGAAACACCATTTGGCAGAATGTAGGGCCTTTCCAACTCACCTGTCGTCTTGTCTTGACATGGTTACAGGTCAGGTTGATAGGGGAACTCTGCTGGTACAATTAAGATCACATTTCTTCTGGGTATCTGATTTATTATGGGGTAACATTTTTATTAAAAATGTGTAATAAATTTCATTAAGTGGGCATCTAGTCAATGAATTAAAGACCAGCTCAGTGACAGATCTCTGTTGTCAAAGGTCTCTGGACCGAGTTTTGGTGATTGCCTTTTTCAGCTGTTTTGGAAATGACGCATCACCTCCCTTGGAATGAAGGAAACAAAAGGTGGAGGGGATAGGGGGTTCGTTAACCCCCCCTTGACCTTGGAGTCACCTGAATCCCAGGTCTGCTTACCATCCTCTTTCCTTGGATATCCTCCCCTGAGCCCCATCTCCAGGTCAGGGCAGCTGTCACAGGACTCCTGAAAGGACTCATGGGGATATGGATGAGAAAGCCCCTCCTCACTGCCCACTGTGTCCCCCATGGGGTGGCCTGGGTGGTCCCCGGTGTCCCAAGGATGTTCACCTGCTAGAGTCACTGTGACACCTCCCATCCCTATGGGATGGGGTCTGGGCACTGGTGGCATTTTGGGGATCTTTTTCAGCAGAGCTGAATGTGCACCCTTGCACTCATTGCCTGCACTCAGTGATAGGAGGTGCTGGTATTTCAGTTAGCAGATCTTGAGGCCACACGCAGCTCCTGGGGTTGCTCAGATCTGGCTGGTGCAAGGCACAGCTACCCAAAGGAAGCTTAGAGCATTGTCAGTGCCAGACATCCTCATTTTTTTCCCACTCTACACACTAGGTCCCCAAAGCACTGAAGTGAGGGCAGCAGGCAGGAGATCATTGGGCTACAGACTATCCTGAGTTGGAAGAAACCCCCAGGGCTCATCAGTCCCACTCCTGGCCCTGCACAGACACTCCAGCAATCCCACCCTGTGCCTCAGAGCATTGGCTAAACACTCCTGGAATTCTGGCAGCCTTGGGGCCGTGACTGTTCCCTGGGGAGCCTGTTCAGTGCCCAACCACCCTCTGGGGGAAGAACCTTTCCCTTATATCCAACCAAAATACTCAAGGCCCAGCTGAGTCACACAGGCACTGATGATCACTTTGCTGGATCCTGCTCCATCCAAGTGCAGTGCCAAGGTGGGCGTGTGGAGGGGTCAGCACCCAGCAGCACCATGACAAAGTGACAGACACTCTGCCCATCATCCAGAGCAGAAGCCTTCAAGGGTGATCTGCTGTCCTGAGCATCCCTTGGGTGGCTGTGATACTGGTGCTCCCATCACCTGTCCCCTCCTGCCATCTCAGCATCCTCCAGTCATGGTGCTTTGTGCCTAGTCACCACCAGCCCCTGCTGCTGGGCCAGGCTCGGTGCCCAGTGGTGCTGCACTCTTCCTGAGCAAGCTGTTTCCAGTAAAGCCAGAGTCAAGCGTGGAAAGGGGAACAAGTTTCTTTCTCTTAGCAGGAAAGTGAAACTCAACACATCTCTTCTCCAACCAGGCAAACCACAGTGCATGCAAGTTCATCCTTCCCACCCCTCTCCTCTTCCTCCCTACTCCCAGAGAAGAGCTTCTAGCAAACGGAGCTGCTCCCACTGCCCTGTCTTCAGCCTCTGCACCAAGGTAATTCACCACAAACAGCTGGGGACACTCTTCTCTTCTGCCACCACTTTCCAGTCCTTGCTCCCTGTCCTCCTTTGTTCTTCACTTCCCCCTCCACAATGGTTCAAAGTAGAAAAACAGGGAGAACCTGATGCCGGGGGAAGAGGAATCTGCAGGAATCTGTCCTTGCTCTGTGTGATTGTGGACATCACTGGTCTCTGCAGACTTGTCCCAGGCTGAGAACCTCAGGTTTTGGGATAGATTCATGTCCTCTCTCCCAGCTCTGCGTGTTGGAGGTTTGGATCCCATTTGCCATTTTTCCCTTTCCTGTTTATCACTGTAGTGTATCTTTGCATCCTTTCCTCCTTTGTGCTCTCTATCCGATGGGACCACTGCCCCACACAGCAGTGCTTCTCCCCCCAAACTCGAATAAATATCATTCACAGGCATCTGAGGTGCCCCTACCCATGCCCAGGACTTGGAGGAAAGGGTTTGTGCCATGCTCCATGTTCTGGGCTTTTCAATCCCAGAGCTCTGCCATGGGCATGCTAGAGATTTTCAGTGCAATCAGTGATCTCAGATCACACAGCCTCAAAACCTTTCCCTGCACGTGGTGTCTTGTTATCCATACTGGACAGTTCAATAGATCTGTGGATGTATATGAGGAGGGCACTTGCTTATCTGTGACCAAGGTTCATCTGTGTGTTTGCCTCCAGCCCCAATTCCTCCCTGTGCTGTAGGAAGCAGGATGCAGCCTGGAGTCTTGCTGGCAGCCAGCACCCTGGCAGCAGTGCTGGGTGTGGCCCTGCTGGAGGATGGAGTGTGTAGGGCACCGGATGGCAAGAACGGCTCCCCTGGAGTCCCTGGCCGTGATGGGAGGCCAGGGCAAAAAGGTGACGTGGGAGAACCAGGTAAGAGGAAGCCGGGGATGTTGGGGGCCTGGGAGCCTCTTGGCAGGAGCATCCCAGGCTGTGGGAGCAGCTCAGGAGATGCCAGATGTGTGTGAACTCCTTCTCCTCCCCACTTCTCCCCAGGGAGACCAGCGCTGAGCCTGAGCATCAAGGGATCCAAAGGGGATGCAGGCGAACCAGGGCCTCCTGGCAAACCAGGCATGCGTGGCCCACCTGGCTTTCCTGGCCTCGGGGGGTTGCCAGGGGTGCCAGGGCCACCGGGGCAGAAAGGGCAAGCTGGCGATGTTCTGGGGCACCCGCATCCCGCCTTCTCCGCCTCCAGGCTGTCCCCACCACGCGCAGGCACGACGGTGGTGTTTGACAGGATCATCACCAACCAGGAGAACTCCTACAGCCCCCAGACCGGGAAGTTCACCTGCCGCATTCCCGGGCTCTACTACTTCGCCTTCCAGGTGGTGTCCAGCGGAGACCTGTGTCTGAGCATCACCAGGAACGGGCTGGGCGTGGTCAGCTTCTGCGACAACAGCCGCGGCCTCCTGCAGGTGAACTCGGGCAGCAGCGTGCTCAGCCTGGCCGTGGGTGACCAGGTGTCCCTGACCACCAACCCCGCCCAGGGCAGCTCCATTTACAGTGGCTCCGAGGCCGACAGCGTCTTCAGTGGGTTCCTGGTGTCCCCAGAGATGGCCTGAGGGACTCCCACAGCGTCGTGGGGTGTCTGCCTGCCTGGCTGCTCCCTCTGGGTGTGTGGGATGCTTTAGTGCCACAGCGCTTGGGGATTGTTCCAAACTCAGCATCCAAAAGTGTTCTGTGCTTCCACCAGTGTCACAGCTGCCAAGCTCTGGGTCACCAGTGCAGCACTCACCTGCATGCTGAGCCTGCCTGCACTATCCTGGAGGCTGTGGACTCTCAGCCCTTTCTCCTCCTGGGCACTCAAGCTCCACTCCCAGTGGTCACCAGCTGTGGCTCTTTGCTCCTCAGTGGGAAATCACTGCCTGCCGCTGCTTCTGCTCCACTAACCACTGCAAAAATCTTCCTGACACTGGGACATATCCTGTCACAACCTTCCCATATAAATGTATAAATAAATACTTCTATCACTATTCCTTGGGTTTTCTTTTCTACTCATGCATCTTCCCCAAACTATCAATATCCTGGACCCCTTCCCAAGCCGACAAGGAGAGAAGTGATTCCAGCTTGTCCTTGGCGCTGCAAATGCAGAAGGACAGGGAGGAATGGAGTGTCCAGTCAGAGCTGACACTTCCAGGAGGAAAAAGAAATATCTGGGACAGGGTTATGTGTGTCCTTCCTTGCCGAGCCCAAGGTAGCTGTCCTGCAGGGGAAAACACAGGCAGCAGGTCCTGCACCTCACCCACATGGTCCCAAGTTGGCATTGAAAATCTCCCAGAAAGGCAAAAGGCAGCTGTGGTCCTCTGGCATTACAGCAAGGAGGGAAAGGGACATTGGGACACTCATGAGGTTGTGGGCTGATGGTGGTGGAGCTGCTATCAGATTCCATACCCTGGGACTGCTCCTCAGGGAAGCTGCTCCATAAACACTGGGCACTCAAATATCCACGTTCCTGGAGCAATGAGGAGGAGGCTGGGTCACCTGCAAGGAGCAGCACCCCAATAAGGGATCCTCACCGAATCCAGCACCCAGCAGAACTTGGTGGAGCATGGGGAAAGCTGCAGATCAGAAACTCACAAAGGGAAACATTTTCCAGTCCTATTTAGGGGTGCAGCATCTTCCATCAGAGCCAGGCAGGGACCTTGCAGCAGCCCTTCAGTGCCACAGGCATCTTCAGCCCACTGGAGCTGGCCTGAGGCTCTGCTCCCAAGATTCCCTTCTGCTCAGAAACAAGGGAAGTAAGAGGGAAAGCAGGGAATTTGGGGAGGGCTATTCCCTGCAGTGGCTTGGGGGGTTCTGCTGCATCTCTTTGAGCTGTGTCCCACCTCTGTCCTTCCAGCCCTTCCTGTTGCAGTGGCACCAGTACAGGTTTCGCTGGACAGCCAACAAAGTGCTGTCTCAGCAGAAAGCATCAGGGAGGAGGATGTGAAATTTGGCAGGGAACAGTTCGGGTTCTGTGTTCACAAGGGCCCTTTACCCTTTCCTCACTCTGTGACTTCCCCCACGAGGGTGTCAGGGACCGCACCCACCGCGCTGTGCTGGCAGTGACCACGCGCCCAGCGGGATCAGCAGCGGCTCCTATCCCTGGTCCCCACCAGAGGTAAGAGGTGCTGCAGGGGACCCTTTTTGAGAAAGGGTGGGACTGGGGGTCCAGCAGCATGGCACACTGCTGGAAAGGGGGAGAATGACAGAAGGGTGTGGATGAGAGAGGAGGAGGAGAGGATGGAGGCAAAGGCACTGACGGCTACACACATGTGATGGAGACAGGATGCACCAGCTGATGGAAGGATTGATCCTGATGAATAGAGCCAGGACAGTCAGGCTGCTGCTGGAGGAGGAGGGAGATCAGCTGCATGCAGGGAGTTCCAGCCCAGGTGCAGCACAGCGTGCCAGTCTGCAGTAGCGTGTGCATCTCAGGGTTTGGGGACACTAGACTCAGAGGGCTTGGGGCTGGCCATGGCCTTGGGGCTGGCCATGGGTACCTCAGACCTCATGGCTCCATCTGGACTGAACGTCCAAGTCACGCTGTGCCATCAGGGGCTGCCCTGGTGTTGGAGATGAATGTGGGGCCCATCTCCACATATCCACCTCCCCACTGTCCTGCAGTGTGTATAGGTGGGACATTGAGGACACACCCATGGCATCCAGGTGTTCCTGGTATATCCTCCTTTTCTCCATGTCCTGCAAGCCACCTTGGTGTGGCCCCTCACTCCAGCACTTTATTTCACTTTCCATGCTACAGAAAACCAAAATGGAGAAGAGATTCTGGGAGCAGCTCTATCTGGCCCTCACCCTCCTCCTCCTGGATCTGGGCTCTGCTGTGACTGTTGAAAACCCTCACAACTGCTATGGAGCTCCAGGCCTGCCAGGCATGCCGGGTATGCCAGGCAGGGATGGCCGGGATGGGCTGAAGGGAGCCAAAGGGGAACCAGGTGAGTGAGAAAGGAGGGAAACCACATGAGCTCTTGCAGCAGGGCACTGAGTCCTCAATGGCTGGCCTGCCTTGGTTTGCAGGATGTGGAGAGCATCCTCTGTACCAGGTGGAAGAGGCAACAGCACTCTCCTGCCCAAAGGAAGGGGCTAGAGAAGCCTCTCCCCACATCCTGCCATTGTCACTGACTCTCTTTCATGCCCCACCACCCCACAGGTATCCCAGCTTCTACACATCTAGGACCCAAGGGCATGAAAGGGGAACCAGGCCCCCCTGGTCCTCCAGGCAAGCCTGGCATCCCTGGGCTCCCTGGTGCAATGGGAATCCCTGGCGAGGCAGGTGATGCCGGCCCCCCGGGAATTCCGGGCAGCTACAAGCAGAAGCAGCAGTCAGCATTCTCAGTGACGAGGCAGACCAGCCAGTACCCCTTGAAGAACGTCCCCGTGGTTTTCAACAATGTCATCACCAACACCAACCACGACTACAACACCACCACGGGCAAGTTCACCTGCAGGCTCCCTGGGGTCTACTACTTCATCTTCCACAGCTCACACACAGCCAACCTCTGCGTCATCCTGCACAAAAACCAGAGCAGGATAGCCAGCTTCTGCGACCACAAGACCAACACCATGCAGGTCAGCTCAGGGGGGTCGCTGCTCCACCTGGCTGCTGCAGACGAGGTCTGGCTGGGAGTGAACGACTACAACGGCATGGTGGGCATTGCCAACTCCGACAGCATCTTCTCAGGCTTCCTGCTCTTCCCTGACTAGAGGATCAGCAGAGCTCACCCCAGCACCCCGATGCCTTCTACCTGCCCTGAAGACACTGCTCGCTGCTGGGCTCCTCACAGCTCCTCCGCAGGGAGGGCATTAATCCCAGCAGCCAGACCTGCCCTCGGTCTGGGGGATGAGCACTGGCAGCTGCTGCACAGGGGGAACAGGCACATCTGGTACATCTGCACCCAGCGTGATGGTGCTGAGCTCCTGGTCTTGCTGGCACTGCCACGTGCATCCCCCTTGCCAACCCCACATTACCTCAGAGGTCTCTCTGTGTTTTTCCCCTCCCTACCTGGGCTGCCTCAGGTTCAGACAGGTGTCCTGGCATAGGCTGCAGCAACCCCTTTGCCATGATTTGGCCGTGCAAAGAGTCAATAAAACCTTCCCCAGTGCACCCGGTGCAGTGTGTTGTTTCCTCTCTGTGGTGTGCACAAATGTGCACATGACATCTGGCCATCTGCGTGGCATCAACATGTCCCCAAGCCTCACTGGCATCAGAGACCACCACACCCCACCCACATCCGGCTTTGCACAGGGGGTGGGACCCTGGCTGCTGCAGGAACAGGGTGTCCCCACACAGCTCCTATCCAGAGGGCACCAAGACTCATCCAAGAAGGGCTCTGATTCTTCCCTTCCCTCCGAAGCTTTACAAGGGCACAGACTGCAAAGGAAATCCCTACACCATGGCTGGGACATCCCTGGTGTCCCTACCAGGATGGGGCAGGGGAAGCACTCTGGCTTTCCTGAGCCAGACCAAAGAAGCTCATGGTTGTGGAGGCTGCAGAGCCCACCAAAACCCAGCAGGGATTTCTCCTGGTGTCATACATTGAAGGGTGGAACAGGCAGTCACCTCTCCGAACATCCTGTACTTCATTTCCACAAGGCAGTAGCCAAAGCAGGGAATGCTTTTCCCACAGTAAAATCACTTCCCATGCACAATATTCTGGAGAGTCAGGGGCATGGATCAAGGTGATGGGTGCTGAGACCCTGCAGCATCCCCTAGACCTGCAGAGCTGGAAGCGTGCAGAGCAGCCTGAGGGGTGCTGGCTGAGTGCATGCACATTTTCTGCAGCTCTGAGGGGTTACCTTAAACTCATAGCAAGCACCCCTGAGCAGGACCCAGGGACCCTGCAGGGCAGACTGGCTGGAGAGGCTCAGGGTGCTATTTGGGGACAGCTTGTCCTGCTCAGCTGACAGCAGCATTCATGGAGGATCTGAAACTGCCACAGAAAAAGGACAGGAGCTAAAGATAAAAAGGGGATGTGTCCCAGATCCTTTCACAATAACCCTTGCAGTAAACTTCTGCTTATCTTCTCGGGCATTTCTGAGCAGGACACTGGGGTGCTGGACACTGCTCCATCTCCCCACCTGATGAATAAGGAGATCAAGGTAAGAGCAAGACTGAGCCCAAAGTTCCCTCCGCAGGCAGGAGCACGTGGGGAACCCAGCTCTGGCAGGGTGATAGTCACCTGTATCGCTGGCACTTCCCTGTGGCCTGGGGCAGAAGAGAAACTGGGGGTGGAGGTGTTGGGCTGGGGGTGGTGGAGGTCCCTGATGGGACCCTGACCCCTCCTGCTCCACCCAGAAAAAGGAAAGCATAAAAGTAGAGATGGCAGAGTTCCAGAAGGGTTATCAGGGACTGAAAGGTGCCCTGGAGGTGTTCTCCTGCCCTGAGATCTTGTTTTCTGGTGGCTGGGAGCCTGTGCATCAGTCCTTGTACCTGCCACATCCAAATCAGAACGGCTGTGGCTGGAGGATCCAACTCACCAATCTTTTGTCCTGCTGGCACCAGAGCTTCAGCACTGGGAAAATCCACCTGAGGTGGGGGAGTTGTGGCTGGGGTGCTGTGATGTCCAGATACAGCCCCCAAATGCCCAGTGCTTATCCACATGCGCCCACAGCAGGGTCTGGGGGAAGGAGCTGGGCAGGCAGGGCAGGAAGAAGGGAAGACCCCAGGGATGGAAGCCCAGATAACTGTCCCAGTGAGGCTTGTTAGATACAGAAATGCCTCTGGCATTGAGCAGCTGTGTGACGGGACACAAGGGGAACCTGTGGGGTGGAGGAGGAAGGTTTGGGGGCTCATTGTCATCTTCAAGGACTAGCACTGTCCCTTAGATATGCTGGTAGAAGGCAAGGACTGTTCCCTTGCAGATGACAAAACTGCTCTGGTTGGGTAATAATTTTATTTTGCAAAGATGATCCCGAGAGGAGATGGGGAATTTCTCCCTCAAGGCAGCAGCATGGCCACATTGGACATCAGATCTCT